TGGAGCGCCGAGCCCAGCGCCTCTGCCACACGGACCAACGCGGCTACCTGCTGACGCGGGACCCGCACCTCAACAAGGTACTCGGCGGGCCTTGGCAGGCTGGGGGCGCCGCGCAGATAGATGGGCGCTCGGAGGTCTGTGCGGGGTGGGGGGGCGGTGTGTGTGTGTCTGTGTGTCTGTGTGTCTGTGTGTGGTGTGCGCACGGAGCCTGGGTACCTTAGCATCCTACTTGGGAGTGGAAGGAAGGATTTGACTTGCTGACAACGCTTCTGGGCTACCGTCCCTCCCCACCCCCAACAAGATCCCAGCCAAGAAAAGCAGTAAGTACCAAGGTGCCCAAATTGGGCGTTTGTGGTATGTGACGATGGCAGGTGGGCTGCCGTGCCAGCCCCTAGGTGCCACCCACTTGCTGTTTCTACTCAGTGTGGCCGTAATTGGAGACTGCTGTGGAGCGCAGTGGCTCTGCTGGTCCAGCTCGGACAGAAATGGGTTCTGAGTGCTTCGGAGCACATTAACCGATTGGGATTCCAACCCCTCTTGGTTTCTAGAGTGACACAGTTACGAGTCTGGGAATGCGTGGTGGGTGGCTTGTCTTGGGCACTTTGCATGACATAGCTTGGTAGAAATGGACTTGGTACTGTGTGAAAAGCTTTTTAAAATTTTTTCTTTTCGAAAGTCTGGTCTTTGTAAATTTTTTTTTTTTAAAAGAACCTGTCCTATTTTTATTGAAAGGAAATTCAGTATAGGCCGTTTTAGAGATTTTTCTTCAAATCCTGGCAACTTATCCTTTTTCTTTACTGGTAATGTAAATATCTCAGAACTAGCTCAAGAAAGTACCTCAGAATTGATCATTTTGCTTCTGTAAATACTAAGCAGTCATACTGTTTGCTATCTTACAGCCAGTTTGTCTCTGGATTGTTCTTTTCTGTTTGTATGTGTGTACTGACATTTCCTATTTGTTCAGTACATTGAAAATGCCATGAATCAGCACAGAGGTCTGTTGAGTTATTTTGACTGTCTCAAACAATCTTTTTGATTAAGTACTGGACCTTGGCTCTCTCCACCCCCATGTTACTGGTGATTTGTTGATAGCTGGAAGATTGGCGATTTATTTTAAAAAAATTATAGCTACTGCAAGTTTCTGTGGTAACAGGCAAGTTTTACAAATCTGTGATTACTTAGTGTTTGTGGTCACAAAGTTTAAAAATTTAAAGAGTTCCTGCTTATTTTTCCCCCTCAAAATCAGTTTGTCAATTTGATTCATTTTCTTAGTTTGTCAATTTGATTCATTTTCTTAGTTTTTATTCTTCAGGTTGGGGCCTATTTTCAGTAGAACAAAGGTAAAATTTGATGTGACAAAGTATTTTATGCCTTTCATGTGTTATCCTGCTGCACTATATGACCAAATTATAGGTTGGCATTTAACAAGATCACCTAAGTAGAATAACCTGTTTGATTTTCTTAAAGACAGGGGGAAGAGTGTCTGTTAAGAGGAAATGATATAGGGAATCCTGAGCAACAGTAATTATGCCTTTACTATCTTTGTGTCAATAATTTGTAATATTAAAATCTTTTTGATTCCGGTTTACCTCTGACAATACCTACTTCAGAATAATAGGGTCACAAAGATCTTCCACCCGAGGCAGATAGTTGTAGGACTGATATATTAAGAACACATTTGTAATTTATAAATGAACTTTGTATTATATCAAACTGGATTCAAAATCTAACCAACTTTGGGGCAATCAGTATAATGAATTTTATTCATTTCTAAGTCCTTAGTGTGGTGGCTTATGGAAATAGTGTGACCTTTATATGCACCATTGAGACCATAACAATGAGTTCTTATTGATCTACCATATATGAAAGATATGTAGGCCTTCATTAGTAGTTCAGGATCATATTTTGGTTTTATGATACTTGGCTCCAAAGAGACTAGCTCTAATAGTGTCTTCACTCTTCCCTAACAGCCCAGCCAGTCACCTGGCAGTAGAAAGGCTACTTTAACCATACTAGCATATACTTTTATCACATTATCTTTGGGTAACTGCAACAACAGTTTTGCAGGTTTTATTTCCATTATTATAATCTGTTCTACAAGTAAGTATGAAAATGATATCTTCATAAATTTGCATTTTCTTCACAGAATGCATTACTCAAGTATTTATTGTATGTTATTTCCTATTATGTTGAATATAAAGTCAATCCATTTGTACTGTCTTGTCTAAATTTATCTTATTAGCTCCCCAATTTAACCATGCATTGAAAAGCTTTGTGTTGATTCTCATACTTAATTCATTCCTTTTTGTGTGTAATTCCTACAGTCAGAATGTCATAATGATCTCTCTATGGAAGCCTTTCCTAATTATCTTAGTCCTACTTGCATTACTTAACACCTGTGTTTTTATGTATTCACTTATACCATATCATTTGTATTTACAGTGCAATTTTTTTCTCATTAATCTTGGTGTTTATATGGCACAGGTCAGAATATTTAGTATTGCTCAGTGGGCGTTAAACAAATGTATGAATGATCCATGTTTTATTATTATTTTTGTCTTTAAACAGTTCTTTTTAAGCAGATAGCTTTTAAGTAGTAGTTTGTGCATTGTCTTAATATAAATATCCTCTTTCATCTTTTTTTTTTTTTTTTTTTTT